TGAATAAATGGGAAATATGGTACAGCTGCACAAATTAATTTAGCACTCTAAAGTAGGTATACATATAACGTGGAATATAATCCTTCTCTTGAAAATATATTACGAGCTACTGCTATCATCATAAATTAGTTTAAATGCAGTCTGACTTTCATAAACCCAGAAAAAAAAGTTCAAGGGTTAAAATTACAAGACTACCCTTTTATGTACCTAAGCATTTTCTGTAGATACTTTGTTACTTTAAAATGATTTTATGTTAGCGATTCAGTTATAATAAAAGAATATTATTTATCACTGCTTTCGTGTAAATTTTCATATAAAATCGAGAAACTGTTTATTTCATTCACAGGACTTTATCAAAGACGAAATGTCGGCTGTTTCATTTTCGCTTTTGATTGTTCGCATTCGTATAAGTTATGGGAGGAATGGAAACTATTAGTAACTTGATCTATTTAAAAGTTACTGTAATAATTACCCAAACTGTTCGCTGTCTTTTCTAATCATTTATTGATCGTTTAATATCTTCCTGTTATATGTCCCCATTAAATATCCTTATACAGTAATTTATTTTAAACAATATCGGAATCTTATAAACACATGGGAATTAGGGATGTAATGAACTTGAAAATTCGAATTTGGATACGGGATAATTTGACGCTATTTCTAGGTTATCATTTGGTACTACACTATCATCATCATAAGGTCGTCAGTCCTAAAACTGATTAGACACTCACCTCTACTCTTTCCTATCCTGAACACATGAGTTAATCTTTGCATTTCCTTCATCTCATCTCACATCCTTAACTATTTGTGAACAATCCAATCTAGGTCTACCTTCACTCCTCTTAGCTCCTGTTTCAGCTTCCAATATGTCCCTAACTGGCTCTTCACAATAATAGAAAAAAACAAGTAACAAGTGATTATTATAGCCACTCCTTCTTAAGTGTTATCTATGGCCAGGCGATAATCTGTCATAACATGTCTCCTTCAGACTTCAGCCCTATTCGAAATTATTCAAAACTTCTATAATAGATTCAGTTATGGTTTCATATGTCGATTTTTATTTCGGTTGCGGATAGCGAGCTTCATAACATCCATAATGGAAATCAACACGATGTGCGATTGGAAATTTTTTCTGGTAGACAGCAGTGGATGTATTTGCGTTAAATCTGCACTCACCTTTATATAAAAAAGAAACTTTTTCGTGTCAGTCTCACCCGTTACTAATACTGGTGGGCGGGCAGGCCCTTCGACCTATACTCTAACCTCAAGATAGGGCGGAACACCCTCTTTGCCCCCCCCTCTTTTAGTAATTGTCGGAATAAACAAGTGGTATTTGGGTAAAGACAGACATGACGGAAGAAAAAAAAAGGATCTACGATTTTTTCGAACCCGGGCAGAAACATGATAGTGGCGCCCCCTATCTCCAATCTTTAAGATAAATTTAAAAAATAACAAATATATAATAGTTGACATTTTTCGTGAACAGGACAATAAGATAAAATAATAAATTTGCACTCATTATTATTTATAACCTAATGACTTTTTCATTTGTGTGACAAAAAAATATACGTAAAAAATATAACCACATTAGCCAACAGATAATCAAGACATTTACAATCCCAACATTTTTTTCTCTTTAATCTATTTGAATAGCCCAGGATGGGAAGGAGTGGAGGTGCGTGTCTAACCAGTCTCAGGACTGACGACCTTATGATGATGAATCTATTTGAATCCGTTACCAAAAAATTTTTTCAAATAAGTTCTTGAAAACGAACCCTTAGACTGCGTTAAATAACCAACTAGGCGCTTTGAGGAACAAGTTTTTTGTTTTCAACCATATTATATTATGATTTTAGCGCCCCCTGAAATTGCAACCCTTGGCGAGTGCCTCCCCCAACCCGTACATCCGGGGCTTAAAGGAACTATTGAAAACATGGACCAAGGGAGACGCACCGGGATCAAATTAAATTTTCTGTCTCGCCTTGATGTCCTACGTGACACCCTATTTAGTTTAGCAATCAATCAAAAACTCATTGATCAATTTTTACACTTATTTACATGTAAACACTTGATACATAGTATTTCTTCAGAAGTTAGGATTGAACTTGAGCACGTTGGATTTGAAATTAATATTAGGTAAGTGAGTTTTATTTCCGATACATGATTTATTGTTTAAGGGATTCAATTCATTTAACCAGAATTGAATGGTGATTCATTACAACCAGTGAATACCATACATTGTTTCGTCGCCTTGTAAGGGCTCGTTTTCGGCAATATTCTGCTGATACTTATCAGTAGGGCAGAATAAAGCGGCACCACCAAAACTAATCAGCGGTGCATTTAGTTGAGAGAAGAACGCATAGACGTTTAATTTGTGGAATTTTATATTGAAATTACATTTACTGTACACCTTTAATTACACTATTTACATCGAAGTGAGTCTGATTGATGTTGAGAATCTCTTCGCTTTACATGATCTGAATCTGGTCGCTTTACATGATCTTAGTCTGAATCTTGTGAGTCTGAATCTGTCTTAGAAACTTAAAACTAAGACTTAAATAAACTTAACTATGCAAATAAAAGGAGTGAAGTTTAGGAATCCCTTCCTAAATATTATGGATGACAAGCTTCATTGGTTATTACCACTGGGGGTGGTTCTGGTAGACACAATAGTCCCAGTTTCGAGTGAATGTTTACATTTATGGGGCAATAAAATGAATCGCTTTGAGTCCTCGATGGACCTGCACATTACAAGACATGAATTTATGATAGCCTTCTTGCTGTCAACCCTGACCAATATGTGTACCCTTTTTACTTCATATTTATAACAGTGGCATCCATAACACTATTTTACGCATAGACACAAAAGAAACCCTTCTCGAAATCGAAACAAAAGATTTTGATTCTTAAAGAAACTATTATTTCAAAAAAAAAAGCAGACGTTAAAAAGAAACTGAATTTTGAGTGAAACGAATTGATGAATAGACGAAAAGTAGAAATCGTTTTGGTGCAAACCTATATCCTTTTACAATGAATATATACGCTTTGCATCGAATCGGTGTCAATATTAAAACGCGATATTTGGAAGCTCTTTTCCAATGATTCCTTTATATTTATACAGGACTGAAGTATTACTCTCCGTTATTGCATTTTTCAACCAGATTATTTCCTCCCCGACTTCTTTGACCCACTTATTAGAATCAAGCTTAGCCGCGTGAATGAAACCGTTCCAATATTTAACTTCCCTAATGGAGATCCAATTGATAGTTTTGCGCTTTGTTACTTAACTTTAAAGTTTTCAGTAGTTCACTTTGTTTCATAAACAAACATCGTATCGGACGGGAAGCGTATTCGCAATAATATTTCCACTAAGGATTTCGCGGAGGGATTATTTTTGTTAATTCTATTTCTTCCTTAGAGCACATGTTCGAAGATTCAAACTTGCGATAGACACGACCCGAGGGCATGCGCCTTTCTGGGCCAAAACGTGTTAGAAACATGCACTTCAACTCCCGCGAAGCGTAGCGACATTGTTGGTTGGTGAAATGTTGTGTTGTATGGGTACATACTGATAACCGAACAAGAAAGAATAGCCGTAATATTTTCAACTTGAAGGTCTTTAAACGATCGAAATGATGATGGAAAGACTGCTGAAAATTTTAAACTATTTTTATCTAATTGCGTAAGTATGTTTAAATGTACTATATACTTATAGCTAGTTTCTTTTATTTAAATTATTTAGTCCATCTTCTACTTCTTGTTCCTTAAAAGCATGTAAAAAGCTTGTTCAATATTTTTACGTAAAACTTCCTCGTTATTCGAGACTTTTCTTTTTTATATCTTAATCTTGTTCTTTAAACACCTATTAGAAAATTCCTTCATTATTTTTTAGTGAAAAAAAGCTTTTCCAATATTTAGTGCATCATTGAGTATTTTAAGTGTTTTCCTTTTTTGAACTTCATACTGAATTTTCTATTTTATGTTCTTTAAATTATCTTATGAGCTTTAAGTAGAATTTTCTGATAAATAGAGATTCATATTGTTTAAATAATGAAATTCCTGCTACTTTCCTTATTTATAGTAAAATTTAATAGAAAAAATAGTGAATTACATTCCATTTAGCACTTACAAATGAAACTAACAAGCACTATTTACCTCTACGACATTTGTTGTAAGTGGTTTTTCTTGACACTGAAAATAAATTGTCCTGTCGTTGGCCACACTTATTCGATAAACCTATTCTGTGGTAAAAAAACAAATAGCTGTCCTCCTAGAATGTTATCTAAAGCACAAGTATNACATAGCCATCCATAACACTATTTTACGCATAGGCACAAAAGAAACCCTTCTCGAAATCGAAACAAAAGATTTTGATTCTTAAAGAAACTATTATTTCAAAAAAAAAAGCAGACGTTAAAAAGAAACTGAATTTTGAGTGAAACGAATTGATGAATAGACGAAAAGTAGAAATCGTTTTGGTGCAAACCTATATCCTTTTACAATGAATATATACGCTTTGCATCGAATCGGTGTCAATATTAAAACGCGATATTTGGAAGCTCTTTTCCAATGATTCCTTTATATTTATACAGGACTGAAGTATTACTCTCCGTTATTGCATTTTTCAACCAGATTATTTCCTCCCCGACTTCTTTGACCCACTTATTAGAATCAAGCTTAGCCGCGTGAATGAAACCGTTCCAATATTTAACTTCCCTAATGGAGATCCAATTGATAGTTTTGCGCTTTGTTACTTAACTTTAAAGTTTTCAGTAGTTCACTTTGTTTCATAAACAAACATCGTATCGGACGGGAAGCGTATTCGCAATAATATTTCCACTAAGGATTTCGCGGAGGGATTATTTTTGTTAATTCTATTTCTTCCTTAGAGCACATGTTCGAAGATTCAAACTTGCGATAGACACGACCCGAGGGCATGCGCCTTTCTGGGCCAAAACGTGTTAGAAACATGCACTTCAACTCCCGCGAAGCGTAGCGACATTGTTGGTTGGTGAAATGTTGTGTTGTATGGGTACATACTGATAACCGAACAAGAAAGAATAGCCGTAATATTTTCAACTTGAAGGTCTTTAAACGATCGAAATGATGATGGAAAGACTGCTGAAAATTTTAAACTATTTTTATCTAATTGCGTAAGTATGTTTAAATGTACTATATACTTATAGCTAGTTTCTTTTATTTAAATTATTTAGTCCATCTTCTACTTCTTGTTCCTTAAAAGCATGTAAAAAGCTTGTTCAATATTTTTACGTAAAACTTCCTCGTTATTCGAGACTTTTCTTTTTTATATCTTAATCTTGTTCTTTAAACACCTATTAGAAAATTCCTTCATTATTTTTTAGTGAAAAAAAGCTTTTCCAATATTTAGTGCATCATTGAGTATTTTAAGTGTTTTCCTTTTTTGAACTTCATACTGAATTTTCTATTTTATGTTCTTTAAATTATCTTATGAGCTTTAAGTAGAATTTTCTGATAAATAGAGATTCATATTGTTTAAATAATGAAATTCCTGCTACTTTCCTTATTTATAGTAAAATTTAATAGAAAAAATAGTGAATTACATTCCATTTAGCACTTACAAATGAAACTAACAAGCACTATTTACCTCTACGACATTTGTTGTAAGTGGTTTTTCTTGACACTGAAAATAAATTGTCCTGTCGTTGGCCACACTTATTCGATAAACCTATTCTGTGGTAAAAAAACAAATAGCTGTCCTCCTAGAATGTTATCTAAAGCACAAGTATTGGAACCTTGATAAACGATGTCGTTTTTTTTTACAAAAACCTTCTACAACTCTTACGGTTTATTAACAAAGTATGCAAATGGTATGTATTAATTAAAAATATTTTTGAGAACTGCCTTTACTAAGTATAGTTGGAACTAAATTATTTAATTTTACATTTTAAGCAACTTAGAAAGTACTTATTTTCCTAAATACAATAAAAAATAGCTATTTATTTAATCCTGAAAAGTATATAAATGAAATTGATAAAGTGTCTTCAGTCCTGACTTTTTCAGCATTAAGCCATTTAAATCAATTCTCATGCGAAATCCTTCAAACTTAATGACTTTGGCATTTATTCAACGAAAGAAGGAGGTTTGGCAATTATAATAGAGTAGAAATAAATCTGATTAGCCGAAGAGAGACCGTTTAGCTTTCGATAGACGAAAGAGCAAACAGAGTGAGAAATGAGCAAATAAATCCAATAAGCACAAGTTTTGGCATATCTTAATTTAATTCTGATCTATATAATAAGAAAACAATTAGTACAACTACATACAAAAAAGAACCAACATTCCGCTTTTATAGTTAAGATCCTTTATAACTTGCTTTCTGATCTCTGTCCGTCTGATTTTGAACCGATTATTGTTATCCAAATGGACTTAAATTTTGCGTTGCAGTCAACTGCGGTCACATACAGTTAATCAAAATTTCTTTTGCTTAACAAAAATTCTAACTTTTAAACTCGACAAAATTACAATGTGAGAAAATCAAGCAACTTGAACTACAATAATGAACATATTTTTAATGGTTTAATCTTTATATATAAAAATCTTCTGTGCGTTGTAATTAGACTCCTCCTAAACAGCTGGGTCAATTTTGATGAAGATTTTTATGTGTTCAAGTGGATTCGAGAAAGGTTTAGATTTATAATAATAATATTATTTGCATTTTTTTATTGATTAAAAATTTTGAAAACATTTTAAAACAAAGTCGCTCCCGCTGTCTGTACGCTTAGATCTTTTAAACTACGCAACGGATTTTAATACAGTTTTTAGCAATAGATAGAGTAATCCATTAGGAAGGTTTATATGTATAATACATGCATATTATTGTACAGAAAAGTCGAGAAATTGAAAGATTTTTAATGTGATGTCGTAACAAACATATTTTTGTGCGCTTACATTGCAAACGCTGGCTAAACCTTATAGTTATCATACAGATATTACCTTTCCTATTACTTTCGTCTTTTGTTTACGTGGCATTGGAATTTCCTACATGGAATGCTCGATCATTAGATATACAATTTCAGCATTCTATTCAGTAGATGTTAACGGTTATGGTGACCTCTGTTGACACAATAATCCTATTTGAATAAGGACATCACCATACCTAATATGTAATAAATGGAGGATTACAACTTTAATATAAATTAAAGATCCTGTCTAAAAAATGACAATGATAAATGCAATATGGAATTAACATTACAAAGAACTTCACCATTTCTAATAATACATACATTTTATCTTTAGGTATATTTAAAAAATGTCCAAACACATTTTATGTTTAAAATAAAATCGAAATTGAATACTGTTAATTGATGAACGTAACTCGGTGTGGAATTGAGTTGTTATCAATTGCCTATAATTCCAATTAAGTGATTATAGGTAGTTTATAGTTTATAGGTTGAAAATTGTTACGGATAAAATAACGCACTATTTCTTCACTAACAATAACACTGAACTTTATTAAATAATTTTAAAAATACACTATGTCAATAAAATAAAATTAATTGTTGAAAAAATACGCGTACAAAATATGTTATATCCCGCGGAGAGTATGTTTGTTGAGATGCTGTTTTGTGCGAGTGACAATGAACGACTGCTTTTAGAGGAAAGCATTTTAGGTTTTCGGTAAACAAAAAAAGACTAATACGAAATGTACGAGCAAAAATAGCCCTTAAAGACACAAAATAGAGCAACAAATCATTCAAGGAATTACTGAGAATTCGAACTTGCCGGACCGTCATAAAAATGGTTAGTGAAGGGTCTCGACAAAAATTACCTGCGGGTGAATAGTGAGGCTATTTTGAACGTTGAAAAGTTTTGAAAAAAGATTCGTTAAACTGAACATACTCCCCCCGTTGAGAGGCAAATGCCGATCAAATAGTAGATGTTCAATAGTTACAATAGATTCGCTAGCTATATTAATTTAGATTAAAAATAACATATTGAATTTGAATTAAAACAAAATTAGAAAATGAAGAAAATAAATATTATGATGCTTCAATGGACTTGATAAATTTATCTTCAGCCTGTTGAATTGGCAGTGGTGCTACCTTTTGCACGCTGCGGTCATATTCCCCCTTGGCGGTTTTGATTCTGACGACTCTTACAATACCGTCATCACCTGGATAAGTAGCTGTTATCTTTCCCAGACTCCATTGAAGTGGAGGGAGGTTGTCTTCTTTTAGTANGTAAATAAAACATCCAATTCATTTTTAGGATAACCTCACATGGTATGGTGTAAACAAAGTTTCCACCCTTATTGTAGTACACAGAATATATTTAAAAAAAACTACTACAGAGAAAGTTCCATTCTTCTAACCTTGCCCAACTTCAACCGAAGAATACTTTTGTTTGATTCCTCAAAGTTGTAAGCTTACGATAAGAAAAGACAACACTTACGAAGTTGTCATTATCCTTCCTTTTGTTGGACCTGTATGCCTTTTACTTACTTCATCAATCAAAGTTTTGCCGAGTATACGTAACAATTACACGTAGACATGAAGATGAAGTTGTCAAGAATGATTTAAGCTACATTTTTAGTTGTTTATTAGTTAATATTATAAAAAACAATTAGAAACATCATTAGGTACGCGGATGAAAGTTGGTAGCACAAGTAATAGGTCAGTAAATAAACTTTTAATACAAATATTTATAATTCGTTTCAAATACTTATTCGAATTAAACAACTATTTTTCGAAAATAACTGTCGTGATCGAAATTGTCACATTAATGCAATTAAATACGTATCTACAATTAGATTGTCACGTTACAGTGCCTATATAGGCATAAAACTGAGACAGGTATGTAAAATGCATTATTCTTAATGCTGTGGCACTTCGAACGCTAAAAACTGAATAAATTATGCTTTTAATTCCGGCATCGCCAATTAGAATTAGATTCTTAAATATGATTTTAGTTTCAAACGACTTTTCTTGAAGATATTCCTCTTGTGGAACGTGCAAGATCACTTCTAAATTTTCTAGAACTCTAGACACTCTTTTAGACGATACTTAAATTACTTAGTAGGTAATTCACTAATTCGTTACACTACTGCTTCAGTACAAAAGCACACGATCAGTCGAAGGCTCATAGTTAGTGTTGATACTGAAGTAAAATTCTGTTGTTTTTTTGCGACATTTCGTCGACCTTAACGCCAATCTCGTCAGGTTAGTCTATAATATGAAACACTTTGATATTTATTAGTGGTTAATATATCAAATGTTAATGTGAAAATTAATTTTTCCATTTATACCAACTGTAAATTACCTCAAATTAATGAGGAAAACTTTGTTACTGTTGTCAGACCCTCGCCGGAACTAAGCTTAGTGGTCAGAGCATTGGTGCGTAAAGTCAAAGATCCCGGGTTCGATTCCCGGCGAAGGTATGACAACAGCAACAAATTTTTCCTCACTAACTTGAGATAATTTATGGTAGGTATAAATGGAAAATTAATTTTCACATTAATATTTGATAGTCTGAAATAATAATACACACGTTCAACACAGACTCTATAAAGAACATAGAGAGCGAAACTTCTGGTTCAATCATAAATTATAATTTACTAATTATTAATTAAAGTGTTTACATGGCTCGCATATGTATGGTCCGCATTCAAAACGACGATTAAAATTTTGCAAGGTAAGAATTATGCGGCTCCATGCATGATAGCGTCTGGTTGTAATGCAGTACATGTGACAAGAGGCGCGCGGTTTCCACAAATAGTATTTTAGCGTTTTAAGTACGCCCCTGATAATGACATGTACGAACGACGTCCGTTCCCTACTAATTATTATTTGTAATGTATATCTAGGATCTAGTATTTTCGCAACTGTAATTAATTGAGAAAAATTTTCTTAATTTCGTTAACTTTTTTTTGTATTGAATACTAAATCATTAAATCACTTATTATGTAAAAAAGATTAATTTTAAACAACATAAAGAATAACTGAAGTGTATCATATTAATTAAAAACTTTTTTATAAAAAAAGTTGCATTTACGTTTTTTGAAACTACTTTTTTTTACAAATATATTCATCTTGCTAACATTCCCAAAAAAAATACGATGTAAGTAGGTACAGGGTGTGCCCTAAAAAAGCGGTCATAATTCAAGAGATGATTG